ATCGTGCCATTGCACTCCAGTCTGGGCAACAACAGCGAAACTCCGTCCCAAAAAAAAAAAAAAAAAAAAAAAAAAAAAGTGATACCCCATTTACAGGTGAGGAAAGTAAGCAACTTGCCCCACATCACACAGTCAAGAAATGGTGAGGGGTGGATTTGAACCCAGGTTTAGGTGCTCTTCCCACTATGTTACACACAACTGAACAGAACGTCTTGTTTTACAGATAAAGATGCTAAAGCCTGTAAAAGTAAAGTGGACTATCTAAGGTCCAATAGCAAGCTGGTGGCAGAGCCAAGACTAGACTCCAGTTTTTGTGATTCCACATCCACTAGGCTACTTTCAGTGCAATGCCAGCTTGGAGAGGGAGGGAAGAAGAAGGCATGGAAACCTTTGGCTTCCTATGATGAAGTGAATAGAATTAGAAGAGTAACACTCTGTGGGATTAAGCCAAAAGATTTGAAACTGTGTCACAGAGTGGGATAAGAAGAAAGGAGAAAATTCATTCTCTTGAGTGTTCACTATGTGTAACGCCTGCAACTAAGCACTTTTACACATATCATCTTATCTAATTCTCACAGCTAACCAAGGAAGTAGGGATTAAACCCATTCTCATTTTCTGAATATCTGAAAAAGGATATTCAGAGAGACAATAGACTAATAAGAGGGCCAGCATGTGTTCAAACCAGGGTCTAACTCTAAAACCCAAGTGTTTGCCTTTTCTCAAAGCCTCTTCCTATGAGCTTCACCAGCAGTAATTTTATTTCTTTCTTTTGATTTCATGGCTAGAGAAACTAAGATTGTTTAAAACCAAAGGATATTGTCTTCTTTTCTTGAAAAAAAAGTTTAATATGTTCAGAATCAAATGAAAAAAGTAATGCATGTGACTGAACAGCAATGTGAGCTGTCATTTTGCTATTCCAGAGATTGAAAATGTCGGGGAAGTCCAGCGGGCAGGAATTCTCTTCTTCCGAATCATGCTGCTCGAGCTACAGGAAAGCATCCAGCTACTCAATCCCATGGAATTTGTGTCACTGTTGCTCTATGGCATTACTCCTCTAGCAAAGCCAAATTCTCCTCAAGACAGCAAGTCCATGGAGTTGGAAGCCAACATGGAACTAGTGTCTGATGTCCTGAAGGCGGTTATCTTGTTCTTTCATCCAGAGTTGGAATTTTCAAGTGACCTTGGAAGTTGGGATAAGTGTAAATTTGTAAGATTTTCTTTAAGCACCTTTTAAATTGAAGAATCGCCTACACAAATTTAGCTGTACAAATTATAATTGCATAAATCATAAGAATATAAATGCAAGAATTTTCACAAAATGGAACACATTCATGTAACCAGACCTAGATCAAGAAATAGAACATCTGTGGAATCCCAAAAGCTCTCCTTTGTACCCTTCCTCATCAACCCTTCACGCTACCCACCCAAAGAGTAACCATCATCTTTTTTTTGTTTGTTTGTTTATTTGTTTGAGATGGAGTTTTGCTCTTGTTGCCCAAGCTGGAGTGCAATGGTGCGATCTCGGCTCACTGCAATCTCTGCCTCCTGGGTTCAAGCGATTCTCCTGCCTCAGCCTCCCAGGTAGCTGGGATTACAGGCATGTGCCACCATGCCGGGCTAATTTTTTGTATTTTTAGTTGAAACAAGGTTACACCATGTTGGCCAGGCTGGTCTCCAAACTCCTGATCTCAGGTGATCCACCCGCCTCGGCCTCCCAAAGTGCTGGGATTACAGGCATGTGAGCCACTGCGCCCAGCCACGGGTAACCATCATTTTGACTTCAAACATCATCGGTTGGTTTTGCTTATTTTAAAATCTATATAAGTGGAATTATGTAAGCTGTCGAACTGTATTTCTGCTTGCTGGTGATCCCATAACTTTTCTTTTGTTCTTTGTTCACAGTATGTTAACAGATATTTAGTCGGCAATATTTGTGCCTTTGATCCAACTGCCAAGCATGTGGAAGTTAATGTACAGCTTATCGATGAATGTATCAGAGGTAAATTTCCACTTAATTACAGCCTAAATCTATACCAACAGCAATAAAACACAGTTGTGATTAAGAGATTTTTATTAGGATAAAGGAAGTAGCTCATAAATTCAGTTTTTAGGAGAAAATAGTTGTAATTCTTCTAGGAGGGACGCTATAATCTATTGCATATTCTCCGAAGTCACTGGCTGTGCCATACACGAGAATTCAAAAGCACATCTATCTATCACTCATTGACTACATGTGCATTATTTATTTTTTAAAATGCAAATAGGGCTACAATGAGAATAGAAATGTTAAGCAAAAAGCCTATCTTTAGCTTCAATAAATAACCAAGGAAAATAAAAGACTTTTTCAAGGAGGAGAATCACCAAGAATGGAGAGCAGTGAGGCACTCGTGTTGGAGAAGGTGATTAGCTCTTTGACCACAGGGAATAGGCCACATATGAGAGTAAATACACAAACAGAGGCCCAAGGTCCTCCGCTGACCCATATTCTCCCACCAGAGGCCTCAGGCTATGACGAGGTATTCATTTAAATTCTGTTTCTTCTTTGTTACTTATGCAAAATAATTATAATTGGGAAAATGGCTCTGTAGAAATTGTTCACTAAACCTATCCCTTTCCTCCTCTTCCTGGTCTCCTACTATCTGTGGAGGCTCCAGACCAAGGCGGGTTTCTGGATTTACAGGGAACTGTCCTACCTGATTCCTGAGCAGCCTTGACCAACGCTCCCCATCACTTTCTGCTTTCCAACAGTGCCCTCTGGTGGAATAAATACTAACTGCAGTTAACGGAGCAGGATTCAGCCAGAAAAACAGCCCCCAGTCACCACCGCCGAGCCCTTAGTGTTACCAGTCTTCGCAGCAATCAAGAAAGTTCGTAGGTCACCCAGATACCAACCCTCTCTCCTTCAAATAAATTATATCAGGAAATTCTAAGCTTCCTGAGTAGGGGAAGGGAGAGCAATTCTTTGGGGTGCCTTTCTGCTTGCCAGAAGGAGAGGGGTCTTCTGCCAGGGCAATCTGCTGCTTGGAGTTTACCTGGTCCAGCAGCTTTAAGTAAGGGCACTTCTCCACGAATCTACCCAGAAAGAAAAGTCACTAATACTATCTGTATATTCAGCCTGTGACAGGCAGAGACTGCTAGACCAGATAGCATAGCTCCTAACACACCAAGCCTTCCAAACTACTGATTTTACCGAAAGGGTAGAATTAGGTCTGGTAATGCACCCATACTTTCTTAGGGCTTCTGCTGCCAGTATTCTCACTCCCACTTCATCCTAGTTCAAGAAAAAGGGTATTTTTGGCCAGGCACAATGGCTCACACCTGTAATCCCGACACTTTGGGAGGCCAAGGCGGGCAGATTGCTTGAGCCCAGAAGTTGGAGGCTAGCACGGACAACATGGCAAAATCTTGTCTCTACAAAAAAAATACAAAAACTGGCCGGGCGCGGTGGCTCACGCCTGTAATCCCAGCACTTTGAGAGGCCAAAGTGGGTGGATCACGACTCAGAAGTTTGAGACCAGCCTGGCCAATATGGTGAAACCTTGACTCTACTAAAAGTACAAAAATCAGCTGGGCATGCTGGTACGCACCTGTAGTCCCAGTTGCTCCTAAGGCTGAGACAGGATAATCGCTTAACCCGAGAGGAGGAGGTTGCAGTGAGCCGAGATTGTGTCACTGCACTCCAGCAGTGAGGGACAGAGTGAGACTGTCTCAAAAAAACAAAAACAAAAACAGAAACTAACTGGGCGTAGTGGTGCATATCTGTAATCCCAGCTACTCAGAGGCTGAGGTGGGAGATCACTTGAGCCCGGGAGGTTGAGGCTGCTGTGAAATGTGATCATGCCACTGCACTCCAGCCTGGGCAACAGAATGAAACCCTGTCTCAAAAACAGGAACAAAGAAAAGGAGGTTTTATTATTATTGTTATTATTATACGGATGGAACTCTAGGCAGCTGTTTCCTGCCTTTTGATTGAGTTACTATGAAGAAACATTGGGTAGCTTTGTTGAGCAGGCCTGAACTCCCAAGTCTATGCCATTGCAGGTGAGTGCTGCTGACGTACTCCCTGTGGAGGACCCTGTGACTCCAGTGAGCACTCGCAGACAGCTGTGTATGCAGTAGTACATCAATAGTCTGCTATTCTCTGTCACTTTGCCTAAGATACCCCTAGTAATTGGTCTCTTCTACTTGGAGATTCATGACTTGACCACCCTCTCAAGGACCTATTCTCCCCATTCCACTTTGGACCTCTGTTGCCAGCCTTACTTGGTGGTTCAGGGTGCCCCATATCTGTTCCATATCTCCCTCCCAGGAGTTTTAGACAGATGTTGCCTGCTTGGAAATGTTCTTAGACCCAGAAGCAAGAAGAGCTGTCCCTCATTGCAAGTGTAACCAGAATCACTTTTCTGTCTAGAACCTGTGTCTCTACCAGGTGACCATATCTCCTCCTCTAAATCCAAGTGATTAGAAGTCCACAGACATTGGTCTTAACAGGAGTGCCCCAGGCCCTCCACTTCTCCTACAGGGGTCCTAGAGCTCCAACTCTGCCAAAGCAGCCAGAGCCTCAATACTGTCACCATCTGTAAAGAAACCCACTAGCTTCCTCAATAAAATCACACCATGATCCTCTAAGGGTGAAAATGAAGGAAGGTGCCTTCCCATCAGCAGGGGAGGACTGCTGGACTCACAGTCCTGATTAACTTTTATCTTCTATCTTCAAAATTCACCTTCCCTGGGAGATCCTTCCCTAATTGCTACTGCCACCACCATGGTGGCTCTCATGAGTGCCATGCTCCCCCAACTCCATTACAGAAATGGGATATGACTCATTCTTTAACTCCCCACTGCCTAGCTAAGGACCTGACAGGAACCTTGGTGTAATGAGTTCACCAACCATCCAGAAATAGCAAGTAGGAATACAACACTGAATCTGCAACTCTGAGGATGTGCCTGTTTCTTTTAAATGGGTCAAGCCAAAATGGACAACCAGATGCCAAGAACATTGTTCTGTCTTATTCATGTAAACCTTCCATATGCTAACATTGGTTTGGATTCAATTAGAGTTCTCTGTTGTCTTTTTGGACTTAGTCATCTTGAATAGGATTTGTTGGCTCCTTCTTATAGGAAAAAACTTGCCATCTTAGCTAGACTTGGGTTTAACGGAGAGCTAAGAGTGTGCCATTTATGTACAAGTTGCTGACAGATTTTAGGCCGTGGAGGAGGAAATATCATTTCATCTTGAGAACAGATTTCCTTTGTCCTGGCAGGAGCCCCTTAAAAAGCCCTTTTAGTTACGAGCTACGATATCAGACAAGTACCCACACAATGCACAGGAGAAGGGTATAACACTCTGTTCTGGATAAAAGTCTCAGGCCTGGATGCTAGACCTATTTCCCATGCATGCAAAATCCCTGCCTTTTGAGTTCCAAGTTATTCAGAGGAAAAAAGAAAATCAAACCAGCCATTCTCTTTATGTTTCTTATCACTTCTTGTGATTTAAATTTTGAAGTTTTCTAACAGTAATTATTAAGAGAAGCAACTAAACACAGTTTTACATGTATAGATAACATCACTGTTACTTTGATATCTGATTAAAGACTTTTAAAAATGAGCTTGATGAGAAGTGGAACATGGTGGCATGCACCTGTGGTCCCAGCTACTTGGGAAGCTGAGGCACAAGGATTTCTTGGGACCAGAAGCTCAAGGCTGTAGTGCACAGTGATGGTGCCTGTGAATAACACTGTACTGCAGCCTGGGCAACATAGTGGACATCGTCTCTAGAAAAAAAATCAGTTTAATAAGAACATTTTTCTAGTCAGGCATGGTGGCTCACGCCTGTAATCCCAGCACTTTGGGAGGCTGAGGTGGAAGAATCGCTTGAGGTCAGAAGTTCAAGACCAGCTGGCCAACACAGTGAAACCCTCTCTCTGCTAAAAATACACAGAAAAATTAGCCCAGCATTGTGATATATGCCTGTAATCCCAGCTACTCAGGAGGCTGAGGCAGGAGGATGGCTTGATTGAACCC